ATGACACTGCTGCGGATAATAGCCTTAGGCCGGTGATCAATAATATGCCCCGTCGATTCTGAACGCCGTATATACATGGCAAAGCATCCCATATCATCGGTGATGTTTCCGTTAGGGTCCTTAGTGAACGAACACGTGGGCTTTGGCTCAACATTATCGAACAGAAATGGAAGTGGTATGCCGCGCTATTTGGTCACTTAGTGATAGATTTTTGTCTCTCTGCCTGCTTTGGGCTTTCAGGGCATGTTGGCGAGCATTTCAGCTGCGTGCGTTGTGAGCCAGCACATTGTCGGAGGGAGGTAGCTAAGTCTCCGTCGCGGTTGGCCGGTCTGGCGACGCTTTTTCTTCCTCGTCTGCACGGCCTTCTTAAGTTCTGTTTGGTCGTCTGGTCCTCAGTTTTATGGACGTAATGACACGACATTTCCACCGTTGTTGCGACTATGTCCATCGTGTGCGCCATAGCAGGCTGCAGCAGGGACGGCGACTTGTGTGTGAATCAGTTTAGACTTGCACAGCATCTACCGCCCCCTCTCCTCCTCCCCTAACCGGACCCGCTGTCAAGACAGAGTCAAGAAGGCCGGAGGCGGAGGAGTGTGTGCAATGACACCGGACTTTGTAAACAGCAGTGAGGTTAAGGTGCCAATTTGTGGAGTTGGTAGCTGACTAGTACGTCTCAAGTGTTAGCCGTTCTGGCTTTGTGTTGTCCCAATGAGCCAATCTTATTTCTCAAATTACTAACACAGATCCCTCAACTTTGCTAATCCGAGTAATGCGTAATAGAGAGGGTTATCAAAACAGGAATGGCGAAAGCAGTCTTCCATGTTTTGACGAGCTTTTTTGATCTCTGCACTTTGTTTTGTTATCCGTGTCAAAGTGTCAACGTAATTTCGTTGGTTTCTATTATTAGAAAACCCTAGTGATGAAACCAAGGATGTCATAATTCGGGATGCATGCATATTTCTTAACTTCCTCAAACCATCACACTCGGCTGAAGATGAGCCTGAATATCCAGGATTTATCGAAAATGCGACAGGTTTTTCTTAGGTCCGAAATTGGTCGATCAGTGGCGAACGCATTTCCGCTGCAGATATCCCACGTCCCCATTCCTTAGAGCAATGTGTCAGCCAGTCTGAAACAACTTTTTACCGCTTTTTTGATCTCTACATTTTGATTTTTTATCGGTGTCAAATTGTCAAAGTATTTGCGTTACTCTTCAGTCACTAGAAAACCCAAACGATGAAACCAACAATGGTATAATTCGGGGCGCTTGCAAATTTTTTACTTTACTAAAACCATCACACTCGGCTGAAGATGTGCCTGAAGATTCAGAGTTTATCGAAAATGCGACAGGTTTTTCCTAATGCTGAACTTTGGTTGATTAGTTGCTGCAGATATTCAAGGCCCTCTTCCTGAGAGGAAAGTGTCAGCCAGTCAGAAAAACCTTGATCACGGACCAGAGGGCTGCCGTGAGGTGCATTATGACCACTGGAAAGGGAAATATTCTGATACAGTAGTCCATCAGAAATCGACATTTGCTGGTGGTGGTGTCGACAGAGTAACCTGAAAACGTAGATGAGAACTCCGAAAATTGTTCTTGAATACCTCTCCGCTTATGGTGATTGCCTGGTATGTGGCTGGACTGTCATCCGACATATTGTGAGTGTAATGCTGGCAGGTGAAGAAAAGGTGATAACCTTTGATGTTACGAACATGCCCAAGTCACTGATCTGAAGAGTGCGACTGAGAAGCAGACACATCCTTTAACATGACACGAGTCTTACTCATGAGATTATTATGCTTTAATATATGAATGGGTCACGGGAGACGGGAAACTCGAAGGAGTTTACGAAACTTGCAGTTGCAAGCTGAATACTTGTCCGCTAATTTCTAGGCAAGTCATGGCTGGTGAATTTGAAAACGTTGATGTGAATCGACGTTCCGTAGGCGACCCTAATCATGAAATATGCCTAAACCGACGCAACATTACCGACACCAGTCCTAACGCATCCAGCAAGATGGTAAAAGAATAATGCATGATTTCATCATAGGGGAAGAAGCAGTACGAGCATTCTAAATGATATTTCGTTCGTTGAAGATTACAATATTCTTAGGCGAAGCAGAAATGCCGAAAACATAAACAACTGTGAACAGACTAAAGCTTCGGAAGTACACTAGACAACGCCATACACATAGCTGACAAAGTAAAATAGCATTATGATGGTTACATTTAAGAAATCGTTTTAAAATTACATTCTGATTAACTGTTCTTCAGTAACTAGTATTGCATGAAGTCTGATACAAAGGCATGTGCGAAATGTCTGCTCAAGTGTTTGCAGGCACTACTGTGATAGATTGACGTAATGTTTTGCTTTCTGTTTTGTCACACTAGGTTGCGATTTGATGCGGAGTTCTGCTAACGGATGCACACCTTCTTTACTCCTCTCGGATGTAGAGTTAAGGAAAACAATTGGTACCTTGGCTGGCTTTTCCACTTCCCTGAAAAATACTTGTTATTTTTTCTAAACACGAAAGAGCTCGCTTTATTCCCTATATAAGAGCAAGTTTTGCTGTATTTGTTTAAAACAGGCTCTGATTGTAAATGCATAGCTAAGTGACCACAAAGTACTAATTAATTAATAGGTGTTTTGCCAGATTCCGAACAATTATTGTGACTCGATTATGAAAACGCCTGGCGGCCTTGGTGGGATTTAAATCCTCCATAGTAAGGTCGAGGCTAGAATACGGCCGCTACTTCAATCACCCGAATCACGAGGCCTCACCGGGAGCCGTGTGGTTAATCACATTTTAGTCAAGTTGCCCTCTCAGCCGACTTCAGCGTATGGAATCCACCCTTTCTGACACGGTAGTCTGACTGTTTAAGCAGGATTTCTATGGAATTAATCTAGAATTCACCAGACGATTGCTATGCTCACTCAACTAATTTATGTTACAGCAGATTACAAATCACGCATTTGTCATTGGTTACAGTCCCACCAAGCCAGCCGGGTTTTTTTAAATTGGGTTAAAAGAGATTAGTAGGTAATTGCTTGAACGGCTAATTCTCTGTCCTTTCTGCTAATTAATTACGTACTTCCAGAATCTAAGCCATAAAAGATTACCTGCCGTGTCGTTAATGTAAACCTTACCGTTTTGAAAGGGGTCTTTTCACGATCACCTGTAAAGTATTCATAAATAACTGGAAATTATCTATACATTTAAAAGACGGACAGCGCATAGTTTTCTTTAACGTTTTTAAAAGCGTGAAACCGCACGAATTTACAAGCCGATGAAACGTCCGGATTTCTGCCACTAGCCCGATTTCTAAATCCTAAATAACCTGATATAGGCGGAAGATAAAACCCAAATACATAGTTTGGCAAATTTCGTTTAGCCAAACTGCCGATAGTTATTTACTCTCCTCTCAAAAGACACGCATGTCTGCACAAACTCAATCTAAAACATCCGTTAACATAGGCTATTACGCACGCATATGGCAACATAGACATCCGCCCTAAATGAAAAACATTTTCACTGACATAATTATCTCGACGGTTGTTCAGCACGACAAAAGCGTATTTTCCGAAAACGCATAGGTAAATAAGGACAATGTGTAACAAAGTAAGGGCCTCAATATGACCATCTCAAGTTCTGTCATCCCATCTCCAAATCTAGACCACATGATAATGTGCGTAGTATGCACCCAGGGATTTCATAATGGAGTTCCAATAATAATAGAATAAAATACTAAAAATAACCTAGTTTGAGCATTTAATCTAAAACATATAAAAGCTTTCTCTGGCAAAAAAATCACTGGAGATTGCAGGCCCCTTCGGCCGTCGGAGATAATTGACCAATTCCAAAATTGTACTAATGAAATAAATTTGCTGTGTATATGCTCATGGAACTGGGGGCCACGATATAAAATATGTTCTCGAAATTTCATATCCTTTAAATAATGTCAACGATTAAAATCTAGCAGCTACCTTTGTAATCGTTTTTCTGTAGTTTTGGTCTTTACTTTTCATGAATGTGTCATGACGGTGCAATTGATTAGCTTTTTAGAGGAGTCAAAGGGATTTCACTTCTCTTCGTGAAATCTAACGTTTAATTTCGCTTGAATTATTCTTCTGGGATTTAAAGAGATTTAGTTGACTTTAGAGCGTACAGCAGGAGTAATTACTTTCTGAGAACAACCCGATTTTGCTATGTCTTCTATCTCCGACAAATCAATAGTTTTTGTTAAATCGATGAAAACCGTTTCCTCCCACGTCTGGGCTGCACAGAACAGCGTAAACTACACGTGTTGACAGTCACATTAAAGTGCAAAAATCGACGTGCATGATTAATTTAATCGCAAAACTTCCTATGAATTTTTATAACTGACATTTCAATGGTGTATATATAACAGCATGCATTCGCCTATTGAAACAACCACCACAGGGAGAATTATCTTGCTTGCTAATTCGGAAAAAGAATCCCAAACCCGGTGAGTAAAGTTAAATTAAATTTTTTTCTCGCTTATTCTAGTGCGAATGCCTCCGCAGCAATATCAGAAGTTTAATTCAATCGTAATGTTTCAAGGTGACTCAGCCCGTTTTTATCGTGAAATAAGTTAGAAAGAACAGGATACTAACGCTAGTCTGGGATGCTTTATGACTTTGCGACAGAAGCAAGCACGGAAACTATGAAAAAATATAGAGAATCAATGTGCTCGTCGTTTGAACTTAAATAGAATCTTCTATACGAATTATCAGCATTACAATCCGTATATTAATTTCAATATAAGTGTGATTTAAACACTACTATCAAAGCGGCAGTCCTTTTTGGAAAACGCGTCTTGCCCCCTTATTTAACGAGAGTTGAAATGCCAATTGTCAATAACCTTTAGAAGGACTTGAGAAATGATTATCAAAACGCGTTCCAAACCATAAATTGACTAAGAATTGGTCATCTTCGTTGAACAAAATGTTTTTTTCCTCTGCAGAGAAACGCAATCACAGATGCTGGTCATTCACGCACTGCTACTGCTCTATATCCCAATGAGCTTGGGACTCCCTCAACCTTACATCACCATCATCATGGAATACCACAATCTGGCCAGGAAGTCCGTGTACCCTGGCGCGGCAGACATGCAGACAATGGTAAGTGATAACGCTTAATCCGTAATGCAAACTAGACGCGACAGGGCCTTATTAAGAGGAACATTTCTGACGTTCATATTTGCCTTTAGACCTACGACAAAAAATTGGAAAAACTGGCTGAGGAGTGGGTGAGCCAGTGTGTGTACGAACACCCAACATCGGAAAGATATAAGCCGTACGGGCAGAATCTGGCGGTTGCGGGAAATCGAGATCCCCTCGACAGTCTACACATTGCAATGACCCTGTGGTATGCGGAGAGAGCGGAGTATCTCGGTAAGGAAAATTACTGCTTGAAACAACCCTGCACACATTACACCGCGGTACGTTCATTTCTTTGGCAGAATTTTCAAAATATGAAAAATCACCTCTGTTAATTGTAGAATTTTCCGTTTCCTTGATGTTCTAAATCACGACAGGCTGCACCACTAGATTTGTCTCAGGTCGGTTATTTTTTGTCTGTCTCACTGTAGATGATTTGGGCAAATACAACCAAAGTAGGCTGTGCCTACAATAGATGTGACAACATATTCGGCATGAAGACGTACCTGTGGGCATGCCAATACTATCCCAGGTAAGTTGGATTTTTCTTACGCAGCAAAGTTGAACAAATGGCCTACGTGCAGTTTAAAGCCGTTTGCACATTTGTCAGTTTGTTTGCATACCGTGTAGTGCAATGCTAATACGACATATTAAAAGTTATATAATTGTCCCTTATTAGTTTCGCAAACGTGGCAGTCATCCACACGAGAGTGTTATTCGGAATCCCACCCCAATTTCAGCATCGCCAGCGGATGTCGTCTCGTCCGTGTTTATTTCTGATTGGACTAGTAAGCTGGCTGGGAATCGGTAACGCTTAATTCAGCCCTCTATGCCTTTACTGACAATGCGTCTCGATTCGCAGTGAACGCATTTTAGCATTACATATTATGCTGTGATCTCACTTCGCCTAAAATGCACTCATGCTGTCTCCTTGTCAGAGCAACAGGAGATCATGTTTCCGGGGAAATGGGAAGTTATTTTTGTCCATGAAGTTAAAAGGACATAAATCATTGGTGTTGGCGACGGCGAATTCAGAGAGAGACCCGCTTTACTTTGGAAAAATCATATTCCGAATTTTGCAGGAAGACTTTCATTTGGATTAGTAAAAAAGGGGTACGCAAGACACATAGCATAAGAGGGCTACAAGCGATAATTCATGGCACCACGAAAACTCGCTGCTAAATAATTTCCAAAATTCGCGCCAGATTTCACTTTCTTCAAAACAGTGCCAAGGTAATGTGTAGATAACTCCAATACTGTGGTTAAGATATACGAAGAGAATAAAAAATCGGTATTTGATGCGTAAAATAGGGCCGAGCGCGCTAATATAAAAAAATTTCAATAAGAAACGTCTGGAGTCGTTTATCGGATCTGGTGCAGTTGCGGACAAAGCAACTACGTCGGAGAAACCGGAAGACAACTTCGAACGCGAATGGCCGAACACGCTGCTGCGGTGCGGAGAAATTACGCCAGCTCTCAAGTTGCGGCTTATTCGAGGGGTTCCGGCCACACATTCAAGTTTGTCGAGGCCGAAATTCTCGCAAGAGGTGGCAACCGCGTGAGCCGGGTGCTGCTTGAATCATGGTTCACTGGCCCCCAGTCTATTAACAAGGGCAATAATTTTCCCATTTAATACACCGTGCTAAGACTTTGTCTAGGCGGAGTAATTGGCCACGCGGGGAGCGCACTGGTGAACACTCTTCCCAACACCCGGGTCAACGCGTCAGATGGTCGAGCAATCATCACACCAACATCCAACGCACGTGATGAAATTGCAGCAATTAACGACGCGAATATCGACCATCACGCCACGTGCAACGATTCCTGATGAAGGGGAGGGAGCCGTGAATATTCATAGGTATGCGGTAGCATGGCTACTGCATTCTGTAAATACTGCAGCGGCATGTGCATGAACCACGCTTATCTGCTTATGTCTCTGATGATGGATTCGAGTAGGAATCCGAAACGTCAGGCTAATAAAGCTCTTGTCCCGGCGATCGTTTCTTCTTCTACAATAAGAATGGAGTTTAGCTAAAAGTGGCGGCTCAGTTCAGAAAGCCCGCCATGCTTGCATAATGTGGGGTGCAACGCGCCTAAAGGTTCCTCAAAACGATCGGATTATTTTTTTAAATTTTCGATCGTGACAGACAACAAGAAGAGAGACTCGTTCGACAGTCCATCTCGATATAGGCATCGTCAACGGACGAAGTCTATCCTAGGCACCACTCATTCTTAATGCAGGCCTCCATGGCTTTAAAGACAATGCGTCTCGATTAGCAGTGAACGCATTGCAACACTGCACATTATGCTGTGCACTCATTTCGCCTAAAATGCACTCATGCTGCCTCCTTGTCAGAGCAACAGGAGATCATGTTTCCAGGGACATGGGAAGTAGTCGTGTCCATGAAAATAAAAGGACACGAAGCGCGGGTGTTGGTCATGGAGGAAATCGTGTACACTGATAATCTAAGTTTTTTTGTCGCGACGACGAATGTCTATGCAGATTTACAACTGCAAGTCCTCTTGCAGAAGAGGCGAGCAAATTTGGGACTGTATTTCATAATGTTTGCTCAAAGATCCTGGGTAAGCTGCGCTCAATTATTTGACACAAATTCCTTGCTCTAGTTCCCTGCGCAATAACAGAAAACAATGTTCTAACCAAGAATTTTCTGGCCATATGGGAACGTTTGTGTTGTATGATAAAGATGGAATTTGAGATATTCACAGTTATCTGTATTCCATTATTCCTCGTGATATTTAATTGAATAAGCTTAACAAAACGAAGTGTGCGAAAAGATACATTGCACAATGGATTTCCGAGTTCAATTACTGACCCCACAGTTATTTCTAAATTTCAGAGGAAATTGGATAGGCGATGAGCCGTACAAGAAGGGCAACGCCTGCTCCAAATGTCGCCGTGGACAGAAATGCAGACTGCGTCAATGTCTCTAATGTCGATATTCTTTATCCCAAGGCAAATAGGAAAAGATACGCCCTATACTGGTGTGGGACATTATGTTTTGTGGTCATATAGAGGTGTTGAAGAATAAAATATTTGCCAAGAAGTCATTATTTTGTCGCACATACGCGGGAAATCATGCAACTGGAAACAGCGAACGGACGCTAGTAAGCGCCCGAATAACCCCGCGATTGTCTGATTGAAGGAGCACATTGGCTGTATGCCTTGTGTATTCTGCATTTGCTGTGTATGGACTCGCAGATCGATGGATCAGCCAACAAGTCCGCCTATTGGCCAATTGGCTCGTACGATGGCAGTTTCATTCTCAGTGTATTTATCTCGTTAGTAGAAACATTTTGATCATCCACTGAGTTCGAGAGATACGGCTGACTCAGTTACTATGCGGCAGTCAGGTGCTTCAGCATTAGCTTGTTACCGTACTCCATGACATTGTCCGTAGAAAAGTTTAGATAAAGGGTGATAACGAGCAACTTCATTTTCTTTGAGAAACATTCCAATAAGTTAGGACTACACTAGATGTGCTAAGTCTGTTGCTTTAAAGTTTACAATGTGTTCAAATCCACAGGTTAATTTTATGAACGCCTATATTGTCTTCTTAAAATACCTGGGTGGAATGTATAGTTTTCCGTCCACCGAAAATTAATAAATTAACTAGTTTACTAATTCAATTTTTAGGGACATCGAATATCAATGAGGAAATCGCATGCCATATAATTAGTCATTTTCTATACAGTTTGATATTTGCAGTCGGCCGAATAGAAGTTATTTTGAAATTCAGCACTCTGAAGTAATTGGATTATCATAGGGTAATTCTGCAAGGTCATTAATATTACTACCCTACCGAAGTAATCTTCTTGAGCCTTCACATTGAACACATCTTTGTACACGCTGTCCGTAGGATGAATAGCTGACAGGCCAATGGACATATTGCGAATTTTTTTGATGTTATGTCTATGCCGCAACCATTGATGATGCATGATGCCACATATCTAATTTAGCACTAGTCCGAAGATGGTGAATGCCATGCAGTCGATCCGATTTAAGTCTCATTCATAAGTCTACCCCGTTTTAATATTCAAATTGATCATGAAAAACTGGGATTTGCTTGCTGATGAAACGTCTACTCGTCTTTCATGACAATTTCTGGGCCGACCCAAAAGCATAAATCCCTGATAACCTAAGCCTCGTCCATCCCTGAATTGACTCCCCAAAGTATTAGCTTAATGATGCTCTCGATGTCATACACCGGAGAGTGCAAATAATACTTTGAGCGACTCACTGGGGAGCTGAACCACTAGCAGGTTTGTCATGCGGAATCGAAACCATCGGCAAAATATGTTCTGGGCTTTAAGGTAGTACCTATGTAGTAAGGTATAGCCCTCTGCCATATATATATGGACGTACAAATCTGAGTATTTGAAAATTTGGTAGGCTACGTGGCTGCATCTGACGGACACAATATATTTAGGGGTTAGTGGTTAGAGCACAGGGTTAGGAGTTAGGGTTAGGGGTGGGGGTTAGGATTATGGATTTGGGTTAGGGTTAGAATTAGGGGTTAGGTGTCGGGGTTAGGCAACTGTTTTTCAACTACTCGGTGTACAACCGCGCATCGCCAATAGCTCTTCTTTTGCAAGCAATTACTTGACCCCCTCGTCTGTGCGTTCCCCAGCCCCACCTGTTAAATCTCCTATCATCACTGTTTCCTTATGACAGGCGGCTGAGGCATGTCTACCGCACGTACGGTTACACAACCACATTTATCCCCCTCACAAAGAACTCGCGGTTGCTTGCGGATTTGTGTAGAATATTGTAGGTCATGAAGATTTAATATTTGCTTAATTGTACTGTTTACTTGCCTGTGTGCGAACAACCCGCTGACAGAATGGCAGGCTGTTTTGCAACAAGATGTATCTTGAGAATCATTGCCTGATTGCAGCTTGTTAAATGTCAGGGAGGTCATGAAGTACTCCATTTACCTCAGGACAGCGTCGAGGTCGTAAACTTTGTTGAAAGTAGAAAAATTACCACATTTTCAACAATCTGGTCGGAATGCATCCAATGTCCTAGGACGGTCACTTCAGTTCAGTTTAGTTTGAGGGAAATGTAGGTCTTCACCTTTGAACTCCATATTTGCTTACGAGCTCAAGAACCGGAAGGTATCAAAAGGTAAGAAATAAGCGGACAATCGTCAACTCTGTAGAGATAATTATTCTGTAGATCGGGTTTGGGTAAAGGAGGGGAGGTGGAGTTTTAAACACCACAATTGCAGTCAGCGCCAGGGAGAAGGTGGGTCCCGACGAAGGTATTTATATGCGTGTGGCTGGTTTGGTGGTTTTGCCCCACATCACCGTGTAGACGCCAGAGACTAAGATCATCAAAAGCCTTTTTCGCTAGAACGGGCATCTTGATCGATTCTTTGCTAAGAACAGGACCGAAACACCACAAATCTCCCAATACCGACGCAGGAAAGAAAAGGCTCTTCATCAGTGTCCAGTTTCAAGGGGACGCGCCAAACCAACTTCTAAAAATGGCGCATAACTCAAGTTGTACCACCCACCTTTCCAGTAGCTGACGACTGTGTACACTTCTCCACTAGTCCCAAACTACACGGAGAGGGCAAGGACAAACTGCCAGCCCAGACGACTTCTTTGTGTATTTACTCCTTCATTTACTCCTGTGGGGCAGAATATATTGGTCGCACGAGCCAGCGTTTGTCCAAAAGAATAAGAGAACATCTTCCAGTTTGGTTAGGAAAGGGCCCCTTAAACCTGAGCTACAGAATAATTATCTCTACAGAGTTGACGATTGTCCGCTTATTTCTTACCTTTTGATACCTTCCAGTTCTTGAGATGTTTAAGTTGCTCGTAAGCAAATAGGGAGTTCAAAGGTGAAGACCTACATTTCCCTCAAACTAAACTGAACTGGAGTGACCGTCCTAGGACGTTGGATGCATTCCGACCAGATTGTTGAAAATGTGGTAATTTTTCTACTTTCAACAAAGTTTACGACCTCGACGCTGTCCTGAGGTAAATGGAGTACTTCATGACCTCCCTGACATTTAGCAAGCTGCAATCAGACAATGCCGGTAGCAGTAAGACGTCCACGTTTATTAACAAAAGATTTCCCACTTTTCATATTAAGTAGGCAGGCTATAAAAATATAAAGCGAACAGACATTTTTTTCTATCGTCCGGTTTTTTACCAGGGAGTGTGTGCATGATTTATTATTGCAAATATCATGATTTTCCTAGTTGAATTAAATGTGTATGAGCTGTCTGGTAATTCATTTTATGCCTTTGATACTTGTGAGAATGTGACTTTTAATTCGCTTCAACAACATCTCCTAACTCCTGTTTATACACAGTCTGTGGACCTTTAGAATATGGTGCAGCAATTATATTTCTTGGGATGCCTGTTTTCCAACTAATCCTTTCCATATAATCTTTGAACTATGCTGAAATTTTCGAAAATGCCGCAAACTCCTTTATAACCACGTAAATATCTGAGGGAAAACGGCCTATTAGAAATGTACAGTAATTAGTTAGATGAAAAGCATAAGAAATATTGAAACGAAAATATATCTCTAAAACAGGACACTTCATGTCGCACGACTAAACGCATATTTCAAAAACACATGGTGGATTTCAATGCAATTTGTTGAACTAATCGAACAGGAAAAGAGCAGTGATGCCGATAAATTCCCTCTAGCTTTTCATTAGTCGGAATATTCCCAACCAGACGGGCAGACGGTTGACTGATTAAAATTTGACCAAGTTATCACAAACGATTTAACGGAATTTGCTTGAAGGCTTTTGCGTTCTCTGTAGTTTTAAATGCGGCTTAACCTAGAGACGACCATTTTGGTCAAGATTCTTCATACGGCAGCCTGCTGGATGACAGTTTTCACAAGGGCATACAAAGAGACTTTAATTAGCTCTTGGAGGTTTGGAGAATACTGAACAAATGCAGTTATAAGCACACAATATCCTGTGCTCTCTAGCAATGCCAGTTTCGCCAAAACATTAAGATCTGTTCAAAGTATCAGTGCAACGTTCATCGTTCGCTACGGTTTTTAACAATACAAATCACGAACACGTTAAAATATGTTAATGCATTCTGAGAGAAAAATGGGGGTTGGGGAAGAATTTTCCATTCCAGCACATGGGCATGTTTCTTGCAAAAGTAACACCTTTTTGCGTTTAGCAGCCCCTGGTCCTATGAGGTAACACATGCTTTATATATTCTATTCGCACATGGTCAACATGGATCCTAATTGCTCGGTCATTTAGAAAACAAAATGGTAGTTAACAATGCCGGTAGGAGTAAGACGTCCACGTTTATCCGCAAAAGAGTTCCCACTTTTCATATTAAGTAGGCATGCTATAAAAATATAAAAGGATCAGAAATTATTTTATCGTCCAGTTTTGTACCAGGGGGTGTGTGCATGATTCATTACCGCAAATATCATGATTTTCCTAGTTGAATTAAATGTGTATGAGATGTCTTGTAATTCAGTTTAAGCTTTTGATTCTTGTGAGAATGTGACTTTAAATTCGTTTCAACAACATCTCCGAACTCCTGTTTATACACAATCTGTGGACCTTTAGAATGTGGTGCAGCAATAGTAGGATTGTTAACCGGAGGAATATTATAGGATCTGCCTTCACAGTCTTAGGCCCATTTTCATATGCATAAAAAGTTCAAATTGTGTTCCATTCAAGCCACTAAAAATACATTATCCGACATAGGAAATATTTTTTATTTACTATTAACTCGGATATTTAAGATATGACCATCAAATCAGAAAAATGACTTTACCACAGGTCGATTACTTATAGCCTAACGTAACGTAAAACTTGGAGGCAAAATATAATTTAACACAGCAATGATGAAAATAAATAAAAATACAACACATCAGTATTTTTTGAATGTTTAATTGCTTCTATCTTCCCTGTGATTCGGGAGAACATAGATACAGTAAACATATTGACGTTGGTTCGGTCAAAATAATTGCCAAACATAAAATCCGGTTCTTGGTTGCACTGAAAGTCGTTTCCTTGACATTCACAGTTTGCTTTTATTAAGGAAAAGAGATTTTTGATTGGAATGCGGCCTGGGATGTTTTCAAGAATAAATATACATTCCAGACCGCAGGCCGAGATGCAGGCTGTTGTCTAAAATTAGATTGTCAGTGTAAGCTTAATCGGAATCATACCTAATTTGAGCAGTGAACAAACGCATTATTCAGCAGTACTATGGTGTCCATTTGATTTCGGTGAATGCCATCGTAGCCGAATGCATCCTTTACGATGCCGACGGGCACTCGGCCGTTGTCGGTCTCTGTTGTCGACGGCCAAATCGGGTGCTCTCTAATGTTGACTGTCATCCAAACTGTCAGGGGCCGACAGTTCTTGAACGTTGTTGCCGACTGAGTGTGATTCCCTGAGAAGTTCTTCCCACACGTGACCAACTGGCCGACTTCGGACGCTTATTTAGAAGTAAAACTTCATCGCAAAGGTAAATGATTCACAAAATGAAACTGATATCTTTTTGAGCAAGCAGAAGGCGTTCCCAAACCAGTTTTCTTTTTGAAAATGACTTTGTCGTGGCATTTTGCTAATTGAGTCCGAGTTCTCCCATCCTGATTCTGATTGTGCGCATAGAATACATTGACAGACGTATTCTATGAATAGTCTGAAGAGTTATACACTGGGAATTTTCAGTCTTCGGCGGATAAAACCGTGGTACTGGTCGCTTGCTGACTGTTTTGGTCCACCTTGCATAACGAAAGACATTGTTTTATTATTAACAACCTACCGCACAGTGACCTGGTTAATATTTAAAATGTTAGCTATCGACACATGCAGCAGCCCTTTGGATGCCAATTTTTTATGGTTCCAAAATCAACGTCCGACTGAAATTAATTTGACATTCTTGTTGAACGGCGTGACTCAGAAAGGTGACAGTATGTACCTCGCAATCTATATATACGTGTTTATGCCTACTAATTCCCGGTTCAGTATAACAAATACTGTTGAACACGACCATATTGCTAAATAGAATTTGTAAAGGGAATGCGTTTAACATACTTGCCTCCACCGGATTTTTTGAAATCAAAATCGTAATTTCCGTTTGGGTAGTACACTGCTTCGAGAGTTTTCTACATTATATGAGTGTTCCTTTAAAACCCGACGCGAGGTAATGGATGTTTAAATAGGTGTTACTTAAATACACAATGCATCGCGTAAATATCCGTGCCTAGTGTTGTCCTGTTTCCCCTCATTTAGACTAACTTAACGCCAATTCTTCTTTAGCAAAGGGCTTTTAGGGGTTCCAATCAATTTTAAAAACAACACTAATCATACCAAATACAGTAGATGACCAAACTCATGAATGGTATCAAACTTTCTAGTGATTGCCAATCATTCGCAATCCAACGCCATTTGTTATATCCAATGTCTATGTTAATTAAGTACGACTTTGAAAGAATTAAAAACAAAAGAATTACTAAACAGGGTGTCGCGTTGTTTGAAAATGCCGATTTTTTTAGAAAATCGTAACATCCCGAAAACGTCAGCAATGGCTGTGATTTAAAAAATTTCATTTGTAGATACAGATAATGTATTCTCGTGCCAAAAGCGTCGTACATATGAAGGCAAAAATATAATAACGTTTGATTATAGCGTTTAAGTGAAGTTTACATCTAAATATCGTTTGAGAAACAGTGTAATTTCACTCATGGCGGTTTGTCAACAACCAACACTTTAAATATAGATTCCAAAACAGTCCTCCAGAAATTCGTGGTATTCTTGGCTCGCTTGAGTTGAATGAGATGAGACTCAACAAGAGAAACGGGATTTGGCTTGATTTCGCCGATGGGGACTTCGTAGGAACAAACGTTTTCATAAGGCGACATGCTCCTTGGCCGATCGGTGCGATCGTGAACACAGCATTTTGCGTTTGTAAAGAGAACGTTTTTCCTGATTTATACTTTTCGACCGTTTTGGAGTACGTTGGGTTTCAGATCGACCTTAAAATATTGCTGAATGCATCATGATTTTCAGTCTTTTCACTCGGACGTCCATGACGACAGGTTGTGAATTACCTCCCTGTTACACACTTAACAATAGGATAATTGCTGAAGGCATTTACAGAATTAATGGGTGATTCCCAAGCGACCGTCTATTTCTTTAAGGATGCTGATCCTGTGTTTGTTGCAAACCCTCTCAAAAATCGGACATACAGTTAATGACCTAACTCATGAAATGTGTCGAGATTTACGAATGGTTGTCAATCACTCGCAAACCGACACCAGTTCATGAGTCCAATGTCTATGTTAATTAAGAACAAGTTTAAAAGAATTAAAAACCTAAACGAAATGTTATAGGCAGTGTTGCGTTGTTTAGAAATGTCGATTTATTTTGAAAAGCACAATATCCCGAAAACGCCAGAAATGGCTCTATTTAAGTAAAATTCGTTTTTAGATGTATAGTAGCTATTGTCATATCAACAACGTAGTAGATATGAAAGTCGGCATAAAATAAATTCTAATAACAGTGTTTTATTGAAGTTTACAGCTAAATATCGTTTAATACGTAGGGCGACTTATATATGACGGCTTGTCAACTGCCCACATTTTGTGTGTAGATTCCAAAACAGTTTTCCAATGTTTCGTGTTTTCGTTGACTATTTGGAGTTAAATGAGATGGGATTCAACAAGAAAAGCTGGAGTTTGCTTGATTTTGCCAAAGCGGGCCGTCGTAGGATCAAAAGCTTTCATAAGGTGACATATCATGAGGCCGGTCAGTGCCGGTCATAGACATACCACTTTGTGTTTGTAAAGAGAACGTTTGTTACGTTAAATTAATTTATATTTTTTGTTCGTTTTGGATTGCTCTGAGTTTCAGATCGGGCTTGAATTATTGCTGAATAGTTCATGTATTTTATTGTTTTCATTCGATCGTCCATGACGACAGATTCTGAATTACCTCTGTTACAAACTTCAAAATAGGATAATTCTTGACGGCGTGTATTGAATTAGCGAGTGTTTGGGTGCCCCTCTTTGCGAAGAAGGTCATTTGGGTCACACGTGAAGACTAATTGGCCGGACAATTGTGTGTAGCCTGGACTGTGCAAGGCGAAGGAGCGGTTCCTGTCTTACGGGATCGGTGGGAAAGGGGGTTTTTAGGGTGGGGTAAACGGGGAACCCATCGAACAGTAAGAAAAAAAGTAAAAAAAGAGGTTCAAAAAGTAAATAATAAAGTTTGTTTGAGGTGAAAATGTGCCGAAAATTCAAAAAGGAAGCCGTAACCAATGGGAGCAATATACCCAAGGCCAAGGCCATTCGGTTTAAGGTGTCCCAGACAATACTGCCACTGATGATGAATCCTGGTCAAATGCCAAGGACAAGTAGGGCGGTGGAAAGTGAACCAGAAGAACGATAAGTATGAATGCAAAATACGGAGGACGGAAGCCGTATTTATTAATTTGTTCAATAATTACCAAACGTTTCCCATTTATAGAAGGGTGACAGCCAAGAAGAAACGTAAGGCCGCTCCGCAAGCTAATAATGCCATCGGAGATTGAACAGATCCTGTATATTATCCAGTCCCCATATTTAGTGCAATAGTTACAAGCTAAACGAGTCATGGCGACGGAAGCCAGATGTCGCTGTCGTAAACCGATGCCGTTGCGAATATTGCGTCAGCACACAGACGGGTATGACTTCAGGTACACGAAAATATTAATAAAATGCATTGCCTAGGTGTAACAAATGTAGTACCAAAAGGGCACTGAGAACTGGTTCGGTGTTTAAGGATAGTCGGCTGGCTTTATCGAAGGTGCCATGTGGCTCAGGCCTATCCAGTATCAGAAGAGCACTCGGAAACCGAGATATTTAGCAGCTGACCGGAAAGGTAAGCAGTGAGATCTTAATGATGTTGTACACATAGTTCAATAACAGCAGCCAGTGGAATAACGCCCAGGGAGAAAAACTGAACGGCCAGGCAATTGACATTTTGGCCACTGAAAACTGGTACAACCGAAGCACTTTGTAATTCTTTCATACTCCGCACTGAAATAGTGAATTCCTTACTGTACCTCTGAACCTTTTTTCCCTTTTGTCCCATAACCCCAGCCGAAAATGCGCCAACGGGGATTGAAATCGTAGTATTTGAAGGGATTGATGGAAAACCTATGAACACCCTAACTGCCGATCATGACCAATCGGAAGGCTACTTCGTAAGTACGCTGACCGTCAAACCGATGAATTATGTACGTATAGCAGGAGAGCCAAACCTACTAGTCACCGCAAGGCGACCAAACCGCCCAACCACACGGGCGTACGAAATCGACCGAAGCGCAAGGGGAAAGCGAGCGAAAGAGACCGCAAAGAAACCCCGAGGGCCGGGTTGATACCTAAGCCCGTGAAAGTGCAAGGCAAGGCCAAACCCCTATGGTTGGGTAGCTGTTCCAAGCCGGCTGCGGTTGGGTGTAGGGAGGGAAAGTGAGCCGTACGGCTGGCCAAGAAAGCAAACGGCAAGCGGCCTTAGGAGACCGCACGGGAAGCCAGCAACCGGGTTTAACGTCTGTACGGCTAAGCCATGAAGGGCTAGTGCAGCCCCTGAAGTATGTAGAAAGGGCAGGTGCACTGGCGGGGCAGACCTGCACCGATTAAGTGCACCCAACGCCTACGCGCCTAGCCAACTCACGCGGTAACCGCAGGGAACGCGGTATGGGAGGCCCCCCCCCGCGATCGAATACGACGGGGCTGTTTCTTAAAAGGGGGGGGGGGGTGAAGGGTAGCGATCTGTTAACACGACTGAAGCAGCTCGCAATTAGAAGGATAATGGAAAGCGTGTTGAATCGTAATCCGCAAAGGTTAATTCTTTCGCCTTTTACTAAAGATTTCCGTGTGGGGGTGCAATGCAATGAGCCCATATAGACAGTCTTGCAGCGCCTCGTTCTCGGGGCGGTTAAAGTGAATGAGAAATTCATCCTGACAGAGCCTCTACGCCAAATCAGGCAAACGTAGCTGGAGTACCCAGTCGTAATAATGTAGCAAGCGCGCTAAGTGGCCGATGAGGGGGAATGTGAACGTGGGCAATAACATGAAGGAATTTACAGCATAACCGCCCTTCCTTCGTCCAATTGGCGGCTGTAAGTATATGCGGGGGGTATGGCAATGGCAACACAGCAGCAGACAAGGTATCCCAAAGTGAGGTCGAATACATTACACCCACGCAGCCGACACGCCTGAAATATGTAACTTAATAAAAGCACGCCTACTGATAGGAAGCAAGTACGTCAACAATGTTGACTCATAATCCCAGGCTCCACGGAATTGTCTCGTCGACTAATTCAAACATTAAACTTCATTTTCGAAAAAAATGACTGTGCAACGAATCTGCCGTCGGTCAATAAGAAGACTTTTCCTAATAAGTTACCTCTTTAAGAAGTGCTTTAATACTGCACTCCGTTAAAGGATCTCTGTGTACTTTGCATTTTCGCACGGTGAGGCCAAAATATCGTTGACAGTTTTGGCCGTTTCTTTCATGTTCCTAAACAATACGGATATTTTTCAACCCTAAACATACGAACGTGCCTTTCCTATATATTTTAGTCATTTGCTTTGTTTTGCTCTTTGATTATGGATGCAAGGCAGGGCGCCCATATTAATACTGATATTGTGCCGAAACTATTAACGTTCTGCTCGTTTTATTTCTGAACTAGGTATGCGCAGAGTTTCGACTACACGACAAGTTATGTTTCATATGTCTGAAAATGGAAAGGACCATTCAGTGACGGTCATTTATGTATTCACGTACAATTTTCAAAAAGGCAAAGCAATTTCAGTCCATTTAAACGAAATAATCCCCCTCTGCGTTATTACTGCATTTTAGGGCAATAAATTGCACAGATCGGTTAATATGGCTTTTAAGAATCCCTTAAACAACTGGTTTTCTTAAAATAACCTATGTGTTAGCTAGTTTATTACCACGGTTAGTATTGGACATAAAATAAATTTTCAAGTCCGCAAAAACTGTTTGTTAAAACTGTCACGGGTATATTATTTTCCTTTCATTAAAAAAACTCGCCCAGATAAACAACTGGAGTCTAGGGCATGTATTAGCATAGTAAATTGCACAAATATATTGCAACCCCATGTTCGCTAAAGTTGTTAATATTTTGCTTAACATAATTAAGTAAATATCATTTCTGCACAAGCAAATGACATTTCATTGAAGGAAGTAGATGACAAGCAATATGCGCAACGTTAAAGACGTCCAGTTATTCCCTTATCGGTTTCCGTTATCAGGTTTCATGAGATGGGTCACTTAGTGTATGTGCCGTGCCCTCAAATCCAATGCCGATCTCTACATCGCATGAGTTAGGTCATCTACTTTCACAAGAACAAACAACTCGCTGAGAATACGAGTACCTGCCGGCATCCTGATGGGCAAGATTCCATGAAATGGACGTGGACGTGTTTTCAGATTAAGCACCACTGCGCTTTCGATATATTGCATAATCGGTCACTGTACACTTGAGAACATGCATATTTCCATTAAAAAACCCTCCCGTGTAGTGCAAATTCTGGCATTACAATGCAAGCAGTTGAATAGTGCCCAAGCGCTAGACGGTAAACAAACGCTCCGCACCACGTTTAGTCGCTTGCGGCGGGAATACAGTGTCGCAACACTTAGAATTGTCTATTCCCCCACCAGCCTGTCTTACGGGCGGACTACTACTACTACTACCACTAATACTACTACTACTACCACCACCACTACTACTGCTACTACTACCACTACTACCGCTGTTACTACCAATGCTACTACCACTGGCGGGAATAAAGTGTCGCAACACTGAAGAAAACTTTTTTCCCCGTCTACCACCACTGATATGGCGAATACTACTAATAATCCTACTATTAGTACTACTACTACAACCGCCACCACGGCTGCCAATGCTACTCTACCAACGCGTACAGTATGGGTAACTAACTGCAATAATACTAGCATCAGTAACGGAGTGTTGCGACACTGGTATCCAACCGACTTGGCAAATGTTAAGGGTGAAACTAGGGTGTGCCCCACAATCCATGTTCTTCCAGTCGATTTCAGTTAATGGTTTTCGAGAGAGCCTTCCGTTGAGCAGGTGGTGATTCCCAAACTGCGCGATCGGCGTGCAGACTTTCCTAGTTGTGTGTTCCCACCCACACGTATCTGATTTTTTCGCTGGCGGGAGCTTTTCTCATATGTTGAACACTTCCGCTAAAAGCACAGCAAGATTTTCCGCGTCTAATGGAACCCCATCTATTAACAGTTTCTCAAGCAGAATGATAACGCAATCCGAAGACATTCACAGGTAGCAGGTACTGTCAACACAAAAGAATAATTTAAAAACGGTCGGTTATGTAACCCCACCCCGCAACCAGTGGCCCCCAGGCTCGTGTAATACGGGGATGGTGGTAATAGGGGTTTTGTTGGTTGGCCATCACAGCGGGGTAGGCGCAATAAATGTAACAAAACATAAAGATAAATAGATTTCCGTTGACCTTCCCTTCCTACGCCATAATATAACAACGGTATCGAGTACGGTAGTTGAGAGGTAGACAAAAAGCAACTCTTAAAATGTAAATGATATTTGAATAAACTTCCACATGTCAATTTGAAGCAGACCAGGAACCAATAGAACGAGCAGCCAATAAAAAAGGAAAACAGTGGATGATTAATAAGGCAAGTGTAAAAGTGTACTGCGAGGTAACGTGGTGCACATAAATGTAAGAAGGGCTATGAAAATACGTTTTTATGAGCTAGAAAAACGTCGAGCAAAGTAAGTAAGAACGCAAGTTTATATGTGCTTAATGAGGCTACTTATTAGTGTAGTATAAAAATTTTAGGAAAATAAAAACACATATAAAGTTTCTACACATTAATAAGATAAACGGATGAACAGAGTAGGTGATAACGCTTATTTGTCATTTCAAAATACAGACTATCTGTTCCAGGTCGCAGAAGGATCAGACACCTACAACTTGATTTTTCGAAGAAAGCCATAAACTCGGAGGAGATGATAAAATGAAGCCTGCTGCCTGTTATAGCAAAATGCCAATGTGGATACCGGATGCGTCAGCGTTGCCCACTTTCAGATCAATCATACCAATCCTTTTATGGATTCGACCACAGGAAATCACGTCAGTCTGAATGAGGCCTATTGGAACAGAATGAAACGGGAGCTCAACGAAGGAGGACCGGTGTCTGGTCGTGCGATATGTGTCTACGTAGACTAGGTTCAATATTGTCTGTGCTTTGGTTATAGGCGATGTCGGCCTAAAGCAAGCGTAAAAATATTTCTGACGCATATTGCGGAAGCATGTCCGGTGCAACAGGTCCCCGAACCGGGAACGTGAAGGGCACTTTCCTGAAGGTAAATTAGCGAAAATTTGTTATAATTTTTATTCAAATGCACTCAACGAAATTTCACTGTTTTATTACTCGGTTTTTTAGAGAACAAACACAAGTGTACCTAAAGAAGCGTTTGGCATCAGAAACCGTTTGGAGATGTCGAGGAAGCCGTGCGTT